TGTAAAAAAAAAATTTGAGGTAAAATATGTATTTCTCTAGCTATGCATTTATTCTCCTCTCTCAATTAAAGAGATTAACTTTTAAACTGGAAAAAAAAATAAAGTGATAACCCTGATCTGCTGAAAGGGGAGTTTCCCTGGGGTGTGACCTGTAACATCTTTTGTCTTATGGTAGCTAAAAGAGGAGGCACAGCAGGTGGGAAACTTAAGATCAGGAGTGTAGCATATCCTGGGGATCTTGGTCCCTATACTGGGAAGTACCCAAAGGAAGGCCAGGACATAAACAGAGGGCCAAGAAACTCTAGGTCTGCAGATGCTGAAGGAAATAATGACCTTCTTCCAGAACCAACAGAGGAGAAATGCCTTCTCCTAGAGGCAGTTCCCTGAATTTGGATTTTTAGCTGTAAGAAAATGTATTTCTGTTTGTAAAAGTCATCCACTGTGGTCCATCCAACTCTGGTCTAGTAGTATTAGTTAACCAAGACAATGCACTCGTATTTATAGAAATTAAATATGAGCAATGGCCTATGGCAATATTGTTGGAAATAGCAACATACAAGGAAAGTAAACTGATTATTATTAGTAGTAAACTAATAAAGGCAACTGGAATATTATGATACCTTGAAATAATTAAATATTATGTATGCATAAAGAATGGCAAAACTTCATCTCATGTACTTTGAACACATTCTCAGGGGGTGACTTATCCTTAGAGGGCATTATTCTTGGTAAAGTGGTAGCTCAATGAAAAAAGAAGGAATCTTCAATGGGATCGGGTATAAAGTGGGTATAACAATGGGCACAAATTTATCAACGGTTGTGAGTACTGTTCAGGACCTGATAGTGTTTCATGGTGTTGTTTGAGTCAGAACTGATTGAAAGGCACCAAACAAGAATCACACCTTACAAACAGTATACAGATAAAGAATATCTCTGGAAGAAAGGCCAGCCAAGAAACTGGCAAGCAGTGGCTGCCATCAGGCACAAGAATTGGATGCTGGGGGCAGGAGTAGAAACATATTTAATGCATAGGACATTTCTTTTTTCTTCTTCATAATTTTATTTTAAATTTTTAAATGGAAAGTGATTCTATTATACAACGATATGCCCTACAGTTATATAACCACTGCTCATTTTAATCTCACTACTAGCTCTTCTGTAGTATTTAAAAGTCAGTTATTATATTTTGGGGGAACTTTCTTAAAATTGGTACAGTACTCTTCTATCAATTTGTTGTACTGAGGTAACCTGAGATTGCTGTTATGCTCAACTTTGTGCCATTTGGGTGCCAAATGTCATAATGGTTACCCATCGTGGACAGTGTTCGGTGAAGCTCCCGCTTTAAGACACGTTAGGAAGCAGGAGTGGCATTCACTTCTTAAACAACACGCCTCTGGTAATTCTATGAACTTGGAGAAATGACGATAGTTCTAGAAAGGTTTCTGGTCTTTTTTTGACAGCATCACTATGTTTCGTACTCCACTTGATAGCAATCAACAACTGGCTTCTCTGAGGCAGGGATGGTGAAGTTTCATTTCACATACTGTGGACATGTGGCTCCTTGGAAAGGAACATCATACTTGGGAAGGTTGAGGGATGGTGAAAGGTAGGCAGATCCTCAACTAGGTGAATTGACTCAGTGACTGCAGAAGAGGGCATTAGTGTATCAGAGATTATGAGGACGTTACAAGGGAGGACAGGGTTGAGATCTGTTATTAAAAGGGTTGCTATGCATTGTTTTCGACTTGATGGCACCTAACTATAACAACATTAACACATTTATTGCCTCTGCCTTTTCTAAAACTCCAGTTATTATTGTTGTGGATACCTCAGATTTTTTATTCCATCTAGTAATGCATCAGGCACCATGTTAGTCCTTGTCCTGTGACAGATTGCAGCACAATCTGCTATTCACTGTAACTTACACTTGCCAGTATAAAGAAATAAACAGAAATAACAGCGAATATCAGAAGCAGAAGCTGTTGAAGCTGTTTTATGTATATGAAAAGTGCTTAACTTTAAAGGGTGTATCAGAGAGAAGTCATTTTTTCAGTTGCAGTGAAGACTTGAGGAGAATGGAAAGAACAATGGCAAATACAGCACTGTGAAATCCATAGATAGTCCTAGGAAGCCTAGTAGGGATAAACGCTCATCATACACAATCCCAGTACACCATCTTCTTATACCTTAAGTTGAAGAATAGATGCATTTCACTGCAAGCCATGCAACATACTAGTAAAATGTCCTCATATTGTGGAGACTCTGGTGGCCTAGCGGTAAGGAGCTACACTGCCAACCTGAAGGCATGTGGCTCAAATCCACCAGCTGCTCCACAAGAGGAAAATAGGCAATCTTTCATGTGATTTGCTGCTTCTGAAAATGCACTGGAGGGTCAGCTCTGGGTCAGTCCCCGCTCAATGGTACATAACAAAACCAACAACATTGTTTGTTGAGCTGAGCTCAACGTAATGTTTGGAGGTGAGCTGAGGCATACAGGAGGACCATTGGTCTTAAGGAGAGAAGGGAAAGGGGCTGGAAGAGAGTGAGGGGATAAGTGCTTCAGAGTCAAAAGGAAACATTTTAGGAGGTATAGGTTTAAAATACTTTATAAACATAGGTGTACGTCACTAGCTTTTTCTAGTTTGAGTCAGTTATATTCCTAAGAAACAACACTAAAAAGATTTGTTGCTAGAAAGCTGAAATGATACTCACCTACTGTTGGGTCCCCATCAGAAACCAAAATGATCAGAGAGACTGAGTTGGGGTCCAGTAATCCCAGGTTATTGGCTTCATTCAAAATAAAGATTGCTCGTAGAAGTGCTTCATTGATATTTGTGCCTGTTAAAGAAATATAATGTGCTGCTATTCTGTTGTATATTCCCCCCCCGACAAAAAACCTCACCCCAATAATGATGATGGCAGCCTTATCAACAATCTTGAGAACGTCCATTTATTGAAAGTTGGTTGTGAATCTCTTACGGCATTATTAGGCTCTCTTTGACCTCAACAAGCAGGGATCTACCTCCTCATTCACCAGATTCTGATACTGCTTCTTTGACTGCCTGGTCCTGTTTTTTGTTTTGTTTTTTTAATTTGTTTTGTTTTAAATTAAATGTTTTTTAATTAATGATTTTTTAAATGCAACATTAATTTTTTATAGCATATTTTTTATTCCCATTCATTCACTGTTGCACATTTTCTTCCCTGCCTACCCCTCCCCCAGTTAGTTTTTCTCTTTGAAGAAAAAAAAACCCTTTCATTGTTATACAATCTCCCTCCCCCTCCCAAGTCCACTGTCCATTTTAATATGTATTTCTTTTTCTGTAATCTTGTCATGAAAATAACACTCTTGGCACCAGCAGCCAGGAAATAAAAAAACATATTGCGATGGGAAAGCCTGCTGTTTAGGGACCTCTTTAAAGTACTCAAGAGCAACGGTGTCTTTCTGGAGACGAAGGTGCGCCTGATACAGGCCATGGTCTTTGCAATCACTTGTTAGGCATCAGAGAGTTGGACAATGACTAGGGAGAATAGAAAGAGAATTGACGCCTTTGAGCTGTGGTGCTGGAGAAGAGTACTGAATGTACCATGGACTGCTAGGAAAACAAACAGATTCATCCTGGAGAGGGTTAAACCAGGCTACTCCTTGGAGGCAAGGATTCTGGGGCTCCGTCTGACATACTTTGGACATGTTGTAAGGAGAGACAGGTCCTTGGAGAGAGGCATCATGCTTGGTAGGGTGGAGGGACAGCGCAGGAGGGGAAGATTGATTCAGTGATTGGGGTAATTGGGATGGGTGTGTCAGAGGCAGTGCGATTGGCACAGGATAGAGCAGGGTTTAGGGCTGTTGTACATAGGGTCACTATGAGTCGCAAACGACTTGACGGCACATAACGACAACATATTCCTCTTAAATAGTTCTCTCCCTCATATGTTTCAATGCAGTATGCCCCATTCATCTCTCTTTTCTTAGGTTCCCCCCAACCCCGATGTCAGCCCTGTTTTACAACAGTGACATTATGCAGTATTTGTCCTTTTGTGACTGAGATATTTCACTCAGCATAATGTCCTCCAGGGTCACTCATTTTTACCTGGTTCTGTTTTGAGACTCTGCATGAAACCTGTCTCTTACTGAGCTACTGGCTTAGTCTCAAAGTAAAGCTGGTTAAATCCTGGCCATGATGTCTTGAGATTTTTGTCTATATGAATATTTGTCCATAAGAGAAATTTTATTAAGTTATGAAGGTAGCTGTTGATTTCCAAAAGGTGAGATATACATCACTGTTGGGTCAAAGTTGACCAATCTTTCTGCAATGAATTAAGGCCATACACTTTCACATTATATCTGTTATTTAGGAACTAACTTAGCTGCCCAAAGTGCATGCCATATTAGGCTATATAATCTTTATAGGAGAAGATCACTAGGTTTTCACTGAAACACCAGCTTTTTGGTTAACAGCTAAGTGTTTAATCACTGTGCTATCAAGACTCCTTATCACAAACTTAATAATAATTTAATACTAAATGTGTTATTTAAAAACAATTCACTATTTAAAGTAGATCATGGCATATTGGACAAATGTCATTGTGGTAGAAAACGTTGCTTCTTTTTTTAAGTGAACCATGATTTGAATCCTATGGTAGATTATTAATGAGTTCTAGGCCAAATCTACTCACCTCCATTAGGCTGGATTTTCTCAATGTACTTCTTGGCATCTGCAACCTGTGTTTTAGTGGCTGAAACCAAATCACTTCTCCATGTTCGAACGTTGTGGTTGAAATCAACTACAGAGAATTGGTCTTCAGCTCTTAGGTCATCCAATATGGTCTTCATAGCTTCCACAGTCTATTAAAAAAAAAAAAAGAAACAAAGTCTCGTTACATAAGTCCTAAGTTTAAGAGGAAAGTAGGAAGACTAAACATAGTCTTAGTTATTTGTCAAGCACTAATTCACACTTTCTTTCAGAAAAATCCCTTGAAGTCTTTAGTCAACATACACCTTTTTTCACTTTTCCTGAATATATATCTTCTGAATTTTGATACTATTGGCTGTTTTATGTCACTCTTTTTTGCCTTGTGATACAAAAGAACAAGCTCTCTTACGTCTTAAATATCCTTCCTCAGTTATAACATTTCATAAGCAGACACATGTGCCATTCTTTCTCACCCCTTTAAAAACATCACTTGAATCTACTTTCCCCATGTCTCGGTTTCCCTTTGCAATAAAAATTCTTGAATGCGTCATCCTCAAGTCTTCCCCTTTCATGTCTTTATCCATTGCCATTGATCAATTCCAACCTTTTAAGACAAGGTAGAATTGTTCCATAGGATTTCCAAGGCTTTAAATCTTACAGGAGCAGACTACTACGTTTTTTTTCTCCCAAAGAGTTGTTGGTGGTTTGAACTGCTGACCTTTTGGTCACCACTCAAGTGCTTTCACCACTGAATCACCACAGCTTCTCTTGCTGGTTGCTTTTTCCCTTCACTTCCATTGTTCTCAAAATTCTTTTTCATTTGCTTACAAATTTTGTATACGTGGCATTTCACACTATTTTTTCATTTATGTTGTGTTTCATACAGTCATTTTTATGCATTATGTTTTATAAAATGAATCACCATTGGACCTGGCCCATCATTACCCTGTCTTTTCACCTTGATCCTCTCCTTTCTTTGCTTCCCTACTTCAACCAATCAAACTGTGCAACCCTGTGGTTTAACCCCTACCTATTCTCACTCCTCTATCCCCCCCATACCTTGAGTTCCCATACATGCTTTAATAGTTATCTATTTTACTATAATGGTCTTATGTAGTATTTGTCCTTATGAGACTGTGTTACTTCACTGCTCTCCAGCCTCTCCCAAGTAACATAGTATTTTTTGAAATTGTTGCACCTGAATGCTGTATAGTATTCCATAGTGTGAGTGTACCACAATTTCTCAATCCATACGATTATGGTTGGACATTTGGACTGTTTCCATCTTCTTGTAATGGTGAATAACGCTGCTATGAGCATTATTGTATAAATCTCCATTTGTGCCTCAGTTCTAATTCCCTTGGGATATATTTCTAGTGGTGGAATAGTCAGGTCATATGGAGTTTCTATGTTGTTTTCAAAATTCTTAATTTTGGAGTTCCTTTTGGCTTGGTCTAGATTTTTTCTTCTGTCTAAACTTTTGTTGTTCTTTTCTGATATAGTCTCATTGTTTTAAATATCATCTATATGCATGGACTGCCAAAAGAACAAATACATCTGTCTTAGATGAAGATCAGCCAGACTGTTTTTAGAAGCAAGAGTGGAGAGACCATGTCTCACATATTATGGTCATGTTCTCAGGAGAGCCCAGTCCCTGGAAAAGGACATATCATGCTTTGAAAACAGAGGATCAAGGACATTCAAAGAGATGGATTGACAGAGTGGCGGAAACAATGCGTCCAAGCACAGCAGAGATTGTGATGATGGTGTAGGATTGAGCCCATTCTTCTGTCCATGAGTTGAAACCAACTGGACTCATTCTGCTGTACATGAGTCCTAACCAACTCTTGACACCTAACAACAACAACAACAGGAGGAGGAAAGTCCTGACAATCTACTTCTGAAAAATTAGCTATTTTTGAAAACCCTTGGATCAAAGTCATCAAATCTACCACCAATCAGGAGGACCACAGAAGACTAGGTGATGCTTAGTTCCACTGTACATGGGCTGGGACATGACTCAAGGTCTGACTCCATGCCACACAGCATGGACAATGACAATGATAATGACAATGACAACAGCACACATTGTTAACTCCTAACTGTCCATCACTGTGTCAGATTCCTCTTCTGAACACTTGATTTCTGTTCAAAAGCCTATTTGAATGTTTAATAGATATCTCAAACCTAACATGTCTAAAATAGAACTCTTACTATTTCCCACAAAATCTACTCCCTTTCGTATCTTTTCTATGTCAATTGATAGCAAATTCTATCCTTCTGATCGAATGGGATAAAAACCTCAAAACAGCTTTAAATTTTCCTTTACTCATAACTTAACCTTCAAAAAATGATTTTCTTTTTTGTCCTATCTTTAACAAAGTTACAGACTTCAATTAATTCTTGTTACATAAACTCTTGTCACCCTTTTGCAAGCCACCATTATTTCTTGCTTGCCTGGGTTATTGAGATGGCCTTTCAATAAGCTTCCTTTTAATAGCGCTCCCTTTTGTTGTGGCTGGGAGTCCATTGTGACCCTGTATAACATAGAATTTACCAATAGGGTTTACTAGGCTGCAGTATTAACAGCAGTAGATGACCAAGTGAGTCTGAACCTTTGACTCTGAATTACCAACCAAGCTCTTAACACTTGCACCATTAGGACTCTGCAATTGTTTTCAATTTCTGAAAATAAAAGCCAAAATTATGAAAACAGCCTGAAGGATTTTATATAATCTGCCCCTGCTCCTTACTTCTTTCTCTGATTTATTCCTCCTGCTACACTGGGTTTCTCTTCCTTGAACATGTCTGCAAAAATCATTGCGCTGATTGTTCCTGCTGCCTATGTATCTTCTCCCAGATGGTGCACAACTATCCCCTCATCTTACGGTTTTCTTAAAGGTCTTCTCAATAAAATCACCAGTTAGAGGACAAATCTAGTTAAATTCTCATCTTCTTGCAATTACCTCTCTTGATTGCTATTATACTCTTTAACTCTCTCTTTCTCACACACACACCCTTGTTCAGTGTTTAACCCATTTAAAAAATAATTTTCTATGCTTATTCTCATCTTTTATTCTTTCCATTTCTGTCCCATCCAATACCGGAATATAAGCTCAGTGAAGATAAGAATGCATATTATTTCTGTTTATTTTGCTTATCGATGAATTAAGTGTCTAATACACTGTTGTTCTTGTTAGGTGACATCAAGTCAGTTCTGACTCACAGCAGCCATATATACAATGGAACAAAACAATGCGTGATTCAGTGCCATCCTCAAAATCTCTGCTGCATTTAAACCATTAGTTACAGTCACTCTGTCAATGCCTTAGCTATTTCTCATGACTCATTTAGAATCATGATACATTAGCAAATGAGGATCTGACACATAGTTGTTATGTGTCGTTGAGTTGCTTGAGACTCACAGTGACCCTATGTACAACAGCCCTAAACCTTGCTCTATCCTGTGCCAACCTCACTGTCTCTGACATGTTTACTCCCATTACCCCAATCACTGAATTGATCCATCTGATTGAGGGTCTTCTTCTCCTGTGCTGCCCCTCCACCCTCCCAAACATGATGTCCCTCTCCAAGGAATGGTCCCTCCTTGCAACATGCCCAAAGTATGTCAGACGAGGGTTTAGAATCCTTGCCTACAAGGAGCAGCCTGGTTTCATCTTCTCCAGGACAAACCTGTTTGTTCTCCTAGCAGTCCATGGTATATTCAACACTCTTCTCCAGCACCACAGCTCAAAGGCATCAATTCTCTTTCTGTCATCCCTAGTCATTGTCCAGCTTTCTGACACATAGCAGCTTAAGAAATATTTGTTAAAGAAATTAATGAAGGAAGAAAGGAATATATGGATAGAGTATTGTAGTAGAACAGTTATTCTTATCCGAGGTAAGTTTTGTTGCATGTGAGCATTTTTTAATGTTTACAAGAATGACCCTTAAAAGCAAAGACAAGACTTTGTCTCACATACTTCAGGTATTTTGACAGGAGGGACTTTTCCCTTTAGAAGGAAACAATACTCAGTAAAGCAAAAGGCCAGTGAAAAAAGAAGCTCTCAGGGAGACAGAATGACCTGATAACTACAACAATGGGCAATGACTGCGAGGATGGTATGAGATCACGTAGCGTTTCATTCTGTTGTCTATGGCATCACTATGATTTGAAATCAACTCAACAGCACCTAAACAGAACAGCATTACTGGGCAGGGTGCCACTACAATACAATGGGTAGAGACTAGAGATATTGATAAACACTCTACAATGCAGAGGAAAGTCCCCACAGCCAACAATTATTCTCTAGTCCAAAATGTTCAATAATGCAACTATTGAGAAGCTTTGTATTAGCGTATAAACACAAGGGGATAAAATCCAGATATTTTATTTACCTTCAATTCCTTATAGATCCAACAATAGTAGCAAACATGTTAGTGGTCAAAATGGTTGCTGAATGAAATAATAGTTACTTATTTTCCTGGATATCCATATGAATATATTAAAGCATCTTTTGTTGTCCAGGATTCCATCTATACTCTTTAACACATTCTGAGTAGGCCCATACTAAGATCTGAACTAAACTTGTGAGGATTACTAAACGATTGGAAGACAAGAGGTAGGGTAGCAAACCTCAAGGAATTATCATATAACTGGGACAGATAAGATAGCACAACTAGCTAACTAGTTTACTATTAAAATAAAATTGCAAAAGAACAGAAAGAATGTGGTACAGGCGAGTGATCAGAATGAGAAGAGATTACATACAGAAATCTTTCAAAGAGGTAAGTCTTAAGCGAATTGTTCAAGGAAATAATGGCTATAGAATGAAAAAGAGAGTGAAGCAAAGAATTGGAAACAACCCAAGTGCCCATCAACAAACAAATGGCTAGAGAAACTATGGTATATTTACACAATGGCATAATATGCTGCATTGAAAAACACGGAACTCATGAAATATACAAAATGGGGTGACCGTGGAGGACATGATGCTGAGTGAAATATCTCAGTCACAAAAGGACAAATACCGCATAGTGCTACTGTTGTAAAGCGGGACAGATATCGAGGTTAGGGGAAACTTAGAGGGGATAAATAATGTATACGTCATTGAAACAGATGAGGGAGAAAACTGTTTAAAAGGGATATGTGATTAGGTATTATTGTCATGACAAGAGTCTGGAATGAAAGTTGCATAGTGGAGTGGGCTGAGGGGGTAGGGGGAAGGATTGTATAACAATGAAAGAACTTTTTTTTAACTTTTCAAAGAGAAAAGTGAAGTGGGGGCAAGGGGTGGGCAGGAAGGAAAGTGTGCAACAATGAATGAATGGAAATCCAAAGTCTCTGTAAACTTTCATTAAAATAAATTTTTTTTCCTTTTGCTTTTCAAGGAGAGGAGCAAACGGGGGGGGAGGGGGGAGGGGTTTGTGCGGGGAGAAGGGTGCAAAAATGAATGAACTGAATTCCAAAATCTCTGTAGATGTTTATTGAAATGAAAAATAAACAACCTAAATGAAAAAAAAGAAAAAGATAATAAAAAAATGTATTTGCAATGAAAAAAACCAACAAGAACAAAAAATAAATTTTTAAAAAGAAAAAAAGGTAAAGGGACAAAAACCTAAGAAAAAAGAAAAAAGAGTGCGAGAAGTTTAAGTAGAAAGGAAAATGACGGGAATTTTAGAAGAGAGAGTTGACTAGACGATTAATATGCACATCTTGTTACTATATAATAGTTTAAATAGTCCACAATCTTGATAACCAGTCACTGAGTTCTACCTCTAACAAAGAAGGAAAGCTTGACTGGTTGCATTTTTGGGACAGGACATATTAAAATTAACTGGGCATCCTATATGACACTGCAAAGAAAGAGTCCTTACTTGCTTCATTTTAATTCCCCACATGGAGCCACTGACGTCAATAACGAAGAGGATATTTTTTGGAATTGGTTCCAGGTTGTCAGGAGCAAAGAAGTGGACAAAATACCCGTTAAAAACCTGCAAAATAAAAGAGACTTGTCAACCAAATCATTATCAATGTTTAGAAGAGAAAGACCAAATTTCTCTATAAAAATGTGTTTAGTTTCTCTGACTAAAGGTGTAATTTTCCTAAAATGTCTGAGAAATAAGTCTGAATGCTTCTATTAAATTATTTCTATTATGATTTAAACTCTAAAATACATATTGTTGTTAGTTTTTCAGATAGCAGGCATTTTCCAGCTTAGAAACTGGTAACACTTCCAAAGCTTACTTGTAAATTGGTAATTTTAAAGCAATTTTCTATAAAACAGGTGTTTATCATGGTAGTAAAATTCTCTGGACAATCTCCAAGAGGTGGGATAGAATTCCATACCTCCCCTCTCACTCACTGATGGGAAAAGGAATTTCCTTACTTACAAATATCTGGCAGATGACATCCATGATAAGAGTTAGGATTGTGGAGGGAGTAAAATCAGAATGTGTGTGGGAGGATGGGAGAAGTTGGGGGTTTTATTGAGAATCTAAGTCTTGGAATCTGCGGTGAAGAGTGGGATGGCCATTCGAATGGGTTGGGTTGTTGTTATGTGCCGTCGAGTTGCCTACAACTCATAGCGACCCCATGTACAATAACCCCGAAACCTGCTCTATACCTTGCCAATCTTATTGTCTCTGACACACCTATCCATGTTACCTCAGTGACTGAATGAATCCATCTCACCGAGAATCTTCCTCTCCTGTGCTGTCCCTCCACCCTCCCAAGCATGACATCCCTTCTGCCTTGCAACATGTCCAAAGTATGTCAGACGGAGCTTCCGAATCCTTGCCTCCAAGGAGCAGCCTGGTCTCATCCTCACCAGGATGAGCTTGTTTGTTCTAGCAGTTCATGGTAACCTCAATACTCTTCTCCAGCACCATAGCTCAAAGGCATCAACTCTCCTCCTATCATCCCTTGTCATTGTCCAGCTCTCTGATGCAGAGCAAGTAATTGCAAAGACCATGGTTTGGATCAGTCTCAACTTAGTCTGTAAACCTGAGACTAAGAAAGGAGATGAACAATGGATGAACCACAGGAGGTGTCATGGTCAAAAGGAAGAGAACTGTGGTGCACTTCTGTTTCACCATCTTCTTGTTTGTTTAAACCTCCAGGATTTTTATTTCACTTCATTCCATCCTACTCATTATGTGTTGCTGAGAGTCTCTGTTCAGGCCTCATGCCAAATGACTGTGAGTCAGATGCCTCTGTTTTCACGAGTCTCCAAGAACCATGAGGGGTGCAAACAGCAAGCAGGTAATTACAGTACAGTTTATTATGTGCTGTGATCAGAAAGTAAAGCGTTCAAAAAGAGTTCAGTTGGAGTGTGTATAACCCAGATAAAGGGTTTCCATGAAAATGGCACCAAAGCTAAGTTTTGGAATTAGCCAGCCAGAGTGGGAGTTGGATTAGGTGTAGAGGGATAAAGATGGGGAGGGAAGATACAGACAGTGTGAACGCAGCTGAAAGAATATGGCTCCTCTGCTTCACTGTCCCTTGGGGACATTATAGCCCTTCAAAACTCTAATCACTATAACAATGGAGATATAGACACACGTTTAAAAAATGAGAAAAGGAGAACTTTCGAAATAAATATTGACCCTGTAATTCCTCACTAACACCACAGCTTTCTCTTGGCTTTGATTGCTTTCTCCTACCCTGTAATCACTGTTTTCTTTGAGAGGGCAATTGCAAAGGGCCTTGAGAAGTTATCCAAAACACCCATTTTAAACTGCCTGTTTTTCTTCATATAAGATTAAGAAGTGTCCTTCTGTGACAAGGACCTGATTATCTTGAAAAAAAAAAAGTAAATTTTTTTTCTTGATATTAAAAAGACACTGCTTAGGGATATTAAAGAAATATTTTATTCTCTTCTCTAACTTGTTTTGGAACTAGAACCTACAGAACTAGGAAATTTATTTAATCCTAATCAATCACAATCATAATCATCATAGTCGATAATTCTTTGGCATCAGGTTGGTAGGTCTAGAACCTGTTGCCACTCACCTCAAGTTCACCAGCTTTCTCTTCTCTGTTCACATCATACATCACCACCAGCTCTCCATCCACTGCTGTCTCAGAGCAGTTAAAGCATTTTCTTTGCTGTGCTACTGTGGGCTTGAAGGAGATATGTGCCTGGAAAGAACATTAATGTCAGACCCTGGTCTTGGCTCTAATCCATCTCCAGACAAGGAATTGACAGCTGTCTGTCTGGTGCACACATGTGAAGAGGTGTTGCCCCGTGGGCCCTCTGCATCATGTTAACATCAGTGGGACCATTGGAAAGAAAGAGTCCCTGGACATTCTAAAAACACCTAAAAGTAGTGTACTTTACCAGGTTCCCAGGCTTTCTCTCTCTCGCTCTTTTTAAGTTTTAAAAAATTGTCCCCTTCTGGTAAGGTAGAAATGTTTACCTGTATGAGAAAGTGTCTGTGAGGGGGGTCATAAAACTTTCACCTTTTCAAAGTTGGTTAACTCTTGTCTAAGAAGGTAAAGAGAATTAAGTTGTATCACTCTCTTTACATGAAAAATCTACTACAAATTATTACATGAAAGATGGTGGCCAAGTGGATTGAAGTTACACTAGGGACAGTCTCTGGCCAAAATGGCATAAGACAATTGAGAGGTTTTTTATATCCTGTGCAAGACCCTAGACTCTGCCTAGGGATCATGGTTCCTTCATGATTGCAATGCCCTTAGCTCCAAACTCGACTGCTTTCCTTCACTCACAGCAAAGAAGAGACCCTTTGAAATAGTCACTTAAACTCTTTGCAATGTGTACCTTTTGGTTTCCTTTAGATATGACTGGAACACCTTCAAAATGTCCTTCAAATGTGTTGGGAACGTGAAGAAATCTCATTCCCTGGGGTTCAATAATCCACACATCCACCTAGAGATAGGAAGGAAAATTAAAGCATTAAAGTCTATATGCTTTTAAAGTAGAAAGTGCATTGACTAGTGGGCCCTCTGATGATTTTTCTCATCTTCAGATTTTTCTCAAAAATTATCTAATATGGTTCATGGTTCCACTTTAAGTTTTTTAAATTCTCTAAGATATAATTAATCTGGACTAGGAGGATTAAGAGCTTTCTGGAAACTCTTCTTATACCTCAGCCCCCAATTGCCTTTTTCCTTTAGGATTTAATTTCCCCTTCTTACTATATTCTAGAAGCACTGATGGCATTGTGGGTTATGCTTTGGGATGCTAGCCTAAAGGTAGGGTGTTTGAACCCACCAGTCACTATGAGAAAAAAAAAAGATGAGGCGGTCTGCTCCATAAATATTTCCAGCCTTAGAAACCCTGTGGAGAAGTTGGAATATACTTGGTGGAAGTAAATTTTAAATATTCTGTTTATTTAGAAGAATGGGCATGCTGCTAGGAGCAGGGGAGGAAAAGCAAACGCATTGTTAGGTAATTCTATCTTTGTTGTTGTGCTCAAATCTAAACCACTAGCATTGGGTCAATGTCAACCCATAATGACACAGTAGGACAAAGCAAAAATTACCCAAAGGACTTCCAAGGCTGTAAATCTTTATGGAAGTATATGGCTTCATCTTTCTCTTGCAGAGAAGCTGGTGAGTTTGAATCACTGACCTTTTGGTTAGTAGGTGGATACTCTGATCACAGTGTCACCGGAGCTTCTTGTAATTAAACCTACCTTGATCCAAGCCACCCCAATGCCAACAAGTCAGTTCAGACCCATAGTGACCATCAGATTTCTGAGGCAATACATTTTTATGGGAGGTGCTCATCTTTTTCCTGTGGAGCTGATTGTGTCTTTGAGCATCCAACCTTTTGGTTTGTACTATGCCAACAGTTAAACTTTGTACTTCTTTATTCATTCTATCTAAACAGTTGAAAATCCCTTTTGATGATAATTAACAAAAGTATAGTAAGAGCTACCTTTTTCCTGAAAAGCTCCCTTACAGTCTAAGTACTATGTTATGCACTTTGAGTGCTGTCTTGTTATTATTTCTTGATTTACAGATGAAGAAGGTTATAAGTGAAGCAATCTAGCTTCAACATTTCAGAACTAGGTTTCAAAACCAGTCTGGCTGATCCAAGTGCCAGGACTCCTCACAGTCTGGCCTGCTTGCTGGTTTTTAAAAGCCTCAGCTCAGTTTTTCTGCTAATGTTTCCACATTGATTTTTAGGTCCCAAGCCACGATATTCTAGCTATATTTTCATAAGATCTGCCTCTTTTGTACATTTACACCCAACTTTCACTGTGACTGGGATCTGTGACATTGGTCTCCTTTCATGCTTTTTTCTCACTAGCATCATTTGCAATAGGTGAACAATCTCCCCTTTGGAAGTCCCTGGCTTTGAAATTATGCTCACCTTCCTCCTCCCCCCCCCCATTCCCCACTGGAAAATAGTTTAAATCTGCTTTTGCAAAGTCTTGAATTTTTCTAAGCTGAGCCAACCTTTTCTCCCTTGGTTAACAAATATACCAGTATAACACTTGAAGTTAATTTGCCTCTGAGATTCTTGTCATCTCTAAAAGACTCAATAGTTCTTCATGTTGGAAAGAACTAAGTCTATGTTGAATTAGGTGGATGATTTCTGGAGGTCTGATATAGCCATCACTGACAGAGCATTGAAAAGTAGGAAAAGGAAGAAAAATTTTCAGAGAATTGGGGCTTCTGATTTAATTCTTTTGTAAAAGCCTATCTACCAATTCTCTATCTCAGAAATTTTGTAATAGGTAAGATTAGAAGGACAGACAAGTAGAGTCAAATCAACAACAGGTAGTGATTTAGAAGTCAAAACATTTGATACCAGTTTGTAGGAGGAAAAAAAAATGGGAGAAGAGTAAGTTAATAAAAGGGAAGAAAACCTAAGAATTATGTAGGAGTCCACGAAGAGAATGACTCTGTATGTGATCATACTCTAGAACAGCAGGAGGTAAAAATGAAAGCTGACAAGCACAGAAAGCATTGTTGAAGATTTGCTAGAGAGTTTCCCTACTATAATGAAGGAAGAAAGGATAACTATCCAAGAGGCATGAAGAACTTCCTTTTACCCTAAAGAAAGTCACCAAGATATAATGTAATCAAATCTTCTAAAACCAAAGACAAGGGGGAAAAAAATCTTGAGAGCAGTTTTGGAGAGAAAAATGTAATGTTACCTACATATGCCAATCAGTAAAACTAACTTCTAATTTCTCAGAGAAAACTATGCTGGGAAGAAGTCAATGGGATGCTATAAATAAAATCCAGGAAGAAAAAGAAATTACCAACCAAGAATTATATATGCAGAAAAAATAAGTATCAAGTATTAAGGTAAAATTAGAACACTTCCAGATAAACAGAAGTTAAGAGAATATGTTAACTCACAAGAAATGCTAAAGGTATCCATTGCACAGAGTCTATAATGACAGGAAACAATTTGAGATTGCAGATTCTGAACAGAGAGTTGTCCTTTTTGTTTGCCTGAGTGATGGTCTGTTTCACTTTTTGCAACACACCTTTCTGGTGGACAGAGAACACTCCCCAACCCCAACATCACCTGGTAAACATTCCCTTATACACACAAAGAATTCTTAAAAGTTAAAGACGTTTAAATGAGTCTAAATAGAGAACCAAAAAGGTCAGTCTGTAAATGCTGACATCCATAAAGTGAAGAGTTTCTAAATGAAGAAGTGGTTAAAGCGTAATCAAGATAGAATAGACTGTTTTAAAATTAACCCAATGTTGTCAATTTTATTCCAAGTCACAGAGACGCTCCATCATTATTGAAGGAAACGCTCAATCTTTCTCCAGTGGAGCAGACCTCTTGGTTAGCTGCCTAATGTCTCACACCAGGACTCATTTTAAAGTCAGGGAGGTAGAATAAGCTACAGGATAACCACAAAAATAGTGAACAAACCTTTTACCTATAACAAGAAAGAAGAGGTAACACAGACCAAAATGAAAAGAGAAGTTGATGATACAAACTCAGCACGGAAAAGTGTACAGAACAATAAAAATCAGTAGAACACAATAAAAACAGGAAAGAGTGACAGCAGTAAATTCACTCCACCAACGAGGACAGTGCATGTAAATGGTTTAAATGCAGCCATCAAGAGATAGAGAGTGCCGAATGGGTAAGGAAACAGGATTTATCAATATGCTATCTCTAAGAAACTCAACTTTGACACAAAGATAAGAATAAATTAAAAATAAAAGGATGGGAAAATATATCAAGCAAACAGTGACCTAAAAAAAGCAGATTTATTAATATTTATTTCTGATAAAGGTAGACTTCATGGCAAAAACTATGGGCAAGTTCCAATGGTGATTGATTTTATAAAACATAATGTATGAGCATGATTATATGAAACACAGTGTGAATGAACAAAAGTGAAACACAATGTACATAAACTTTGAAAGCAAATACATTAAAAAATGTAAGATAAAAAAGAAATATGAGGGACTAAAAAAAATTAAAATAATTTAAAAAACAAAAGCAAAAA